CAGAAGGAGTCCACCCTTCACCTTGTCCTGCGTCTTCGTGGTGGCATGCAAATCTTCGTGAAGACCCTGACGGGGAAGACCATCACTCTGGAGGTTGAGAGCTCTGACACCATTGACAATGTCAAGGCCAAGATCCAGGACAAGGAGAGCATTCCCCCGGACCAGCAGCGCCTGATCTTCGCCGGCAAGCAGCTGGAGGATGGACGCACCCTTGCGGACTACAACATTCAGAAGGAGTCCACCCTCCACCTTGTGCTCCGCCTCCGTGGTGGTCAGTAATTGCCCTGGCGTTGGACCTGCTGGTTTATGCATGGTCGTTCGTTGTGTCTGTTTCATTTGAACTATTTCATCGTTCGCATCAGTCTTATGTTGGTTTAATGAACTATCGAGTCACTGTTATGTGTTTGGTTTACGAAGTTGCTGGTACAGTAACATCTAAGTAATGGATAAGTGAACTTTCGGGTAAATCTTGTGCTTGAGTTGCTTGTTTGGCAATGATCTTACTATTCCTTCTCTGATTTATTTCTGTTCATTGCTTGCGCTGGAATTGCTTGCTTGATCCTACTCGTTAGCTGTACGATTTGGATGATGCAATTTATTCCTAAACTTGGATACTGCTGCCGATTATTTCTTGAAATCCTTCTGGATCTATTTTGTGGCATCCCTGCTGCGTTAATGTAACCTTCCAATTTTTGCAGCGTGTCTGGTAAAGAATTAAACTTCTAACGTGTACTGCATCGAGATTATTCTCATTCAAAATTCGAATTGTTGTTATTGCATCGGTTGATACTAAACAATAGGCCGCTCCCTTAAAAGTAACAGGAAATTCAAAATTAAATACAACCAAACTTTTCAAATAAATATGCATTGCAAATTTCTCATGCTGTTTGATTCTATTTTCAATCAAATGCAACTGGCAGAATTAGCTTAACTGGGCTATAATCTGGCAGACTTAGAAGTATATACAGCCAGTGAGAATAAATGTTCCAAGTCTAAGCGCAAACAAAAGGGGATGATGAAGCGGCATGAGAAAATACAAATCGGAATTGCACATTGGAATCGCAACTTGAACACCTATGTTTGAGTTCTGAAAATTCATTCTGCAGAGGGGTCCAAACCGTGTACTCTTTTAAGACATGGATAGCAAGAAAGAATACTAATTGGAGATGATTGAGTTGAGCTTATACCTGAAGCGGGAATGCCAACTATCATGGCCTTGTTTTGAAATCTAATAAGTGTATGGATGTTCAGAGGGATTTGATACAGCAGACGTCTAGAAGAAAACACGAACCATTGTCCTATTCATAAATTTTCATGAATGCGGGATCGATCAAATTCAGTTTGCATGAACCATTTCAAATTGCAGTTTTTGATGTTCTAAGTTATTTTCTAGAGAAGAAATCACCTGAGATGAACGACAAACCAAATCAAAGATCGGTTGTTGACCTGCTCGATCTAGATCGTCAGCTCATGC